TAAGCTAATTTACTAGTTTTTAGACCACCCAAATAGAGGCAGAACTAGGTCCTCACTTTTGCCCAGTGCCCCTTTCCTCTCTCCACCTGGCCAAACCCAGTCTCCATGCTCCTGGTCACGTCCTAGCTGGCCTCTGAGCTACACTGGACACACCCCCTTGAAGGCAGTGGGGCCCAGTGGTCAAGCACAGAGGCTTTCCGTGTCAGACATTCCTCTGTCACCGTCACCTCACTTGCCCTCTGAGAGTGAGGCTGGGTGAGGAGTACCTTTTCAGGAGCTCTTAGAGTATTTCAGTCTTAGGACAGGTTTCCCAGAACCAGATTCTACAATGAGTTTCTTTCAGGTGGATTATTAAGAGGGAGAGGAAACAGCCGGAAGGGGGTGATCCCAGGCAAAGCCCCTCAGGGGCAGCTTTAGCCTGAGCCCCACCTAGGACCTCTGGCTTGCACAGTCCTGTGCCTGCCAGTGACTACAAAGTGAAAGCCTTAATTTTCCATGTGTAAACCCACAGGCTGAAGACAGACTTCTGGAAAAAGCTGGGTGCTGGAAGTGAAAGCATAGAAAAGGGGCTGGAGGCAGACAGACAGACAGACAGACAGACAGACAGACAGACAGACACACACACACACACACACACACACACACACACACACACTGGCTCTGATGACAGGTAGAACACAGACACTATCTGCTCTAGAGGTGCACTGGAATTTCCACCGCAGAGGCAAGGTGGGCAGGATGTCCAGGTCACACCAACACTTTCCCCCACACCCATTTCACTCCCCCCACCCTTAAGTCCTGCCCCACTTAAAGAAAAACAAAGTGGTATTCTAGATTCTCCTGTGGAAATCAGGATATCAACTATTAAGAGAGCAGCAAGTGGCTTGAAGAAAGTGAAAAACAAGCGCTGTAAGTGGATTCTCTTTCTTAATTCTCAACCCCAAGACATTAGAATCCAGAAGAATTTTTTTTTTCCTTTTTGCAGTGCTGGATATGGAGATCTAGAGCCTTGCATGTGCTAGGTGAGGGCTCTACCACTAAGCTAAGTCCCCAAGCCTCGAGGCTATATTTTCCCTATCCCTGCCCCTGCCCCAGTACTGAGACTTCACACAGGGTTTTGGCACTGAGATACAACCCCAAACTGCTTTGTTTTATTTTTGAGACAGGATCTCACTAAGTCATTGAGTTGCTCAGGCTGGGTTTGAACTTGCAATCCTTCTGCCTCAGTCTCTCAGAGTGCTGGAGTTATAGCCTGTGTCACCACTTTCAGCTAAAGTCAACATTGTTAACTACCTCCCTAGATGCCTCCTTTTATGATTAAATGTAGCAGTCAGAGTTCATTTGGAAGAACAGAATCATTATAGGTGTTATGGAAATACATTTATTTCAGTAAAGAAACTTTACTTAAAGGTAGGGGGAGCTAGGAAGCTGAAGGTCTTCAAGGAATTGTAGGCTGGGGTGGGTCACTGCTTTGTGGAAGGCTAAATGGGACATGTCTACCTGGCTCATGTGTCTATCATTCTATGGACGATAGAGACTTCCCAAGAGGACAAATTTGGTGGTCTCATTGTGCCTGCCAAATTTCACACTAAGTCTCTGTTGGCCAACTAGTCTAGTAAGAACCCTGTTGGCAGAATATTCTGGAAATATACTTCCCAGTGTAACCAAGTCAAATTAGCCCAGTTCAGCACATTAGAAAATCTTTGAATGTAAATGTGATGTACCTGTCCAAAAGTCCCAGCAGGGGAAGAAAGTCATATTTTTATCTATTACCCATTTTAATAGCTGCATGTTATATGTAATTTTGGTCAGCCTTTTATCTATCAAAGTAGCATTTATGAACTTTTGAAAAATATTAGCTCCTGAATACACAGAGTATCAGGGACATAGTAGATACTCAGCAAATACTGGATGAATGAGTGGATGTTGAATCCCTACAGGAAACATCAATTTCAGCATCAAACTCTGGCAGGTATCTGACAGCACCCCTCCTACCCTCACCCACCAGGATCAGAAAATACCTCACTCTCCCACATAAGTGGGAGGCAATTCTTTCACCAATATGCCACTACTTTTTGTCTTCTTGCTATCCTGAGCTAGGACAAAAACACCATTTCCAACTGTTAGTAAGAGCTGATCCCCACCCTTCTTTGCTCATATTTTCTTTAATCGACCTTCTTCATGAATAGAGGTAGAGCCCCAACACCTATGTTTGTTCCATTAGGCCACAGCTGATGGACTAATGTTAATGCCTGACCACAGCCGGACCAACCCCATTCTCTCAGGAATTTGGAAGTATTTGAAACTTTATGTATGATATAATGTAAAATCAAACAAGCATGAATAAATAAAGGATAGAGTCATTACTGGGGCTGGAGATTTAGCTCAGTGGTGCAGCACTTGCCTGGCAAGCATGAGGTTCTGAGTTATATTCCTGGCACATCCCCTGCCCCGAAGAATCATTACTAATGATGATGTTTGTATAATTTATAAGCATTAAGGCAAACAATATTTTAGCTTATGAATTTATACTTATATAAAAGTAAAAAATACAAACTTTTTAGGAACTAAAGAAAGAAAAAAATATTCACAAAGGAGTCATATATAAAATATATAAAGACATGCCTGTAATCCCAACACTTGGAAGGCTGAGGCAGGAGAATTGTTGTGAGTTTGAGACCAGCCTGGACTATAAAATGAGCTCAAGGCCATCTTGAGCTGCATAGTGATGCTCTCAAAAGGATATATACATATGTGTGTGTGTGTATATATATATATATATATATATATATATATATGACAACCAGTAGAAAAGTGGGCATAAAATTTGAGGATTCTGAAATAGACAGTAGAAAGATGTTCAACTTCATTAATTATCAGAAAAAAATGCACATTAACCTATAATAAGGCACCATTACAGGGAGAAGAATGGATAGAACGAAAACAAAAAAGTTGACCAAACCATCTGTTGGTCAAAAGATGTAGATCAACAAGAACTCTCGCTAATGGTGGCTTTGTCAATTGATATAGTCAGACACTGGGGAACTATTTGCTATTTAAGAATATTCACTTAATATGAGCATAAGTATAGTTTGTTACACAACAGTTCTATTCCTAGGTGTATATCCAGGGGAAGTAAATATTTTTGTTTACCAAAGACATGTACAAGAATATTCATAACAGCACTGTTTGCTAAGGCTCATATCTAGAAACTCCCAAATGTCCATCAGTAGTAGAATGGATAAAATACATTAGGATATAATGACGCCGAGGTATACTCTGTGGCAGTGAGAACAAATGAAGTACAACATAGAACACAGATGAATCTTAGAGATAATGTTACATGAAAGCACGTATTACATCATTTCATTTATATACAGAAGAGGTGAAACTGTTAGAAACAGACTAGCAGTTACCTCTCGAGCCATAGTAACTGGCAGGGATGGGGAGGGCTCTGAAGATGCTGGTAATGTTCTGCTTTTTCATTGGAATCCAGGGGAATAGAAGTTTTCAGTTTGTGAACATTTCACTGAACTGTACACTTCCAATGTATGCTCTTCCCTCTCCCCCCCCCCACTACATACGACTCCTCATTATAAAGTTTTTAAAAATAGCTTTTAGGAGCTCTAACTTTCAGGAGCAGATTAGTTGCTTGTCTGCACCTCGATCTACAATTTTCTCCTTTCACCTTCACAAGGATCCTCAGGCAGCTAGACACTGAGTATGCAGAAAGTCTTAAGGTTTTTTTTGCATGAACATTTCCAAGTTTGAGTTTACACAGGCAAAGAAATGTAGGCAGTGTTTTTATGCAAAGGAGGCTGCAGGAGTGGGGATGAGAATGGGTGGACTTTGGCTACTCTGATCTCCACCACTGCCTCACCCATGTTATCCTAAGCAAATTTTCAACGTGTTTTTAAAAAATAACATGATTAATATACAAACGTGACTTTAGGCACCTCAGATAACACCAGTATGAGAAAAAAGAACCACGCTTTCTATACAGTTTCAAGATAGGTGTCACAAGCCCCTCCCCACCCACCCTGAAACCAGAGCCTAGTGTCCTTAAAACCACCCACGTGTAAGTGCTTCCTGAAACTTGTTTTGACTTTTCCAGGTTTGACTCCTGCGGTTTAAGCAATGGAAGTTAGAAATGAACTTCTGATAACACGCTGTAAATCGTTACTTCAGTTTGTTTTGACTATCGGTGTGCAACTGAAATCCCCGTCTCCCTGCAGCGCACAGTTCACCTCTAGCAGAAGTGGGGCTTTGTACATCTATGAGTCTCTGCTCTGAGCTCTTCTCTTCTCTCCTACAAATCTCAACTCCCGGCCACCCACCTCGTCCTGCACCGCACTCCGCCCATTGTTCACGCCCGCAGAACCCAAAATGTCAGGTTCAGAAGAGTTCCAGTCCCATCCTGAGCCTCTACCGCCTTTTCTGGAAGGGATCCTTTGACTATGTAAATCAATTGAGCGAACAATTATTTATTAAGGAAGCAAAATGAAAGTTGAGATGTAATCAATAAACTAATTTGTTAATTTATTCAATACTATGCCGGCACTGCGCAGGGAGTTACAGGGAATCAGAAAAAGTAATTTTACATCATCAGATTGTGTTATTTTCCAGCTTAAAAAATCCATATTAGAATTAAAAAAAAAAAAAAGACAACAATCCTATAAAAAGAACCTTCTTTTAAAATTACCATGATTTTTGTCTACAAAATCGCAAAAGTGATTAAACTGAGGGGATTATCTCGCTTTCAAAATGTTATTTATCCAATAGAGAAAAACAAAGGGCTGATAACCACCCTCGTAGTATTTAGCAGCAAGCTCTTCCGCACCCCGACGCAAGATATCCTTCTTGCCAAGCTTTTCTACAACCTCGCGAGAACAGACTGGTTCCTCCGGCCCCCGCCTTCGCGGCCCGCTCAACCCCACCCACTTCCTTCCTGGCGGTCGCCTTGACGTCAGAGGCGCGCCTGGGCGGGTAAGCAGCTGGACCCAGGGCGGAAGTGCCTGCGGCGGAAGTGAGCGCTCCGGTAGGCGTGGGCGGGATGGCAGCGGTACAGCGCTGGCTGAGGCGGCTTCGAACGCCCCTCAGTTCTAAGGCCCAGAAGTCACTCCAGGGTGCGCCCTTTTCCAGGGCCCTGCACGCGGGGCCCGAGCCCCGAAGGCTCTCCATCGAAGGCAACATTGGTAAGGGCCAGAAAGTGGCTGCGAAGCCTTGGCCTCCTCTAAGAAGGTGTCTGAGAGTCTGGGGAAGGCCGTTCGGCTCGGAATCCCCTTCATCCCTGGTCTCCTGAGACTGAGCGGCCTGCTAGTTTAGAAATAGCAGGGCTTTTCTCTCAATGTAGAGCACTGTGGCTTAGACTTTAGAACCTAACCCTTAGCACTTGCCCACAGGAACACATTTTTGGTGGGTGTAAAAGCCACGCAGGCTGTAGACAGGACAAAAATTCTACTAGTTCTATTAGAAGATTGAAATAGAAGCAACGAATATTAGTTTGTCTTTTAAGTAGTTGCCCTGTATAAATTCTGTTTGGCGACTCTAACGGAAAGTTCCTAAGCTTCAGTCATGTTATATCCCTGTTCAGACTTGCCTTGCATCCAGTTTACCACTTTTACTGTTTTTGCCATATCTTTGTGCTAGGCACATTGTAATTTCTTCAGAAGGAACTGCCTTCTTAAAAATATGTATTAAGTTAAAACAAATTTGTTAGGAGAGATCCAGTATTTTAGAAGTAATGAAAAACCAAACGAAAGCAAAACATTTCAGTTTAGTGACTTGATACTTTGATTAGCAAAGGCATTGAGCCATAAGACCCTGTTGAATACTGAAGACATTCTAGCAGCAAGCAAAATTTTCATCTTATTCATTCAACAAATTACCCTTTGAGCAACTTAAATATGCTAGCACTGTTCTTGGTCCTGCAGATACACTGTGAACAGAACAAATAAAAATCTGCTCTCATGGAACTGTAATGGGGAGAGATAAACAATCAGTGACATATATTAAGATACACAGTATATTGGAGAGTAGTGAGTGATGGAGAAAAACCAGGGATGAGGGACTGAGGGAAGTTGTCGCTTAAAATAGAGTCCTTAGAAAGGCCTCAGAGAAAGTGCCATGTGATTAAAAAAAAAAAAAAAAACAAACCTGAAGAATGAGAGTGAACCATGTGGATAACAAAAAAAATCTTTCAAGCAGGGTGAGGAGCATGTAAAGAATTGATGAAAAAGTGTGAAATAGAAAGGAACCCATTGTGGTGAGAGTAGTACAAGGAAGAGAGTAGAGTGAGATGAAGTAAGGGATGGGCACATTGTATAGACCTTAGTGTCCATCCTGAGCTTGGTAATGTGCTTGAGACAAACCGTGGGATGGTTTAAAGAGTCAAGTGACAAAATCACCTGGCTGTTGTTTGAAAGGAGGTAGTGTTAAACATTGTGATGATAAGGTATGCTAAGTTGGACCAAGATGAAAGTCACATTTAAGGTAGGGGCAGTGGATTTGATGACAGATTGAATGTTTAATATGAGCTAAAGAGAAGGGTCAGTGGCACCAATTTTGATTTAAAGTTGAAAGATAGAGTTCAGATGTTCTTAAATGGAGAAGACTGAGAAGAACATATTGGAGGGGTGGTGTCAAGATTTTGGTTTTAAGCCTGTTGAGCTTTTACCTGCCTGTCAGATATCCAAGTGGAAGTGTTGAATATGCAGTTGGACGAGCACAATTCAGAGAATGCCTAGATGAGAGAGACAGACAGACAGAGAAATATCCTGGAAGCAGAAGGAAAGATTCAGAGCAGGGGAGTGAGCAGTTGTGTAATACTGTTTAAGTAAATGAAGGTCTTAAGTAAAAATGCAAACAGTTTTAAGAGTGGTAGGAGTAACTGAAAGAGTAACAAAGGACCAAAATGTACAATAGATATTGTGAAATGTAAAGAAATTGTTCAGAAGAAAAGAATTAGGGTGGGGAAAGGGGGAGAAGAAGGAAGGAAAGAGAAAAACAGATTTTAAAAAAGGATAACTTTGGGGGCCGGTGAGATGGCTCAGTGGAATAAGCGCTTCCCTGGCAAGGGCCTAAGTTCAATCCCCGGTTCCACCAAAAAAAAAAAAAAAAAAAAAGGGTAACATGGAAGTCCAGGTATGGTGGCACACGCCTGTAATCCCAGCACTAGGGAGGCAGAAAACAGGAGGATCACTATGAGTCTGATCTGCATAGTGAGACCCTGCAAAACAACAACAAAACTAAAAAAGGATAACATGGCAACAAAGCTTTATGAATAGGGGAAGAGGAGTTGAAGGGAGGAGAGGAAATTAGGATGAAAAAGAGGAATAAAAATATACAGGTAAAAATTCCCTACAATGAATATGATCATTATGTATATCTAAAATGTATCAGTAAACTTATACACATTGATACCCCCCAAAAAATAAAAATAAGGGAGGGTGGGGCAAGCAAATAAAGGAAAAACAAAGTATGTTGTATCTGTATTCAAATCTGATAAAATTAAACATGTTATTCTGCATGGTGAATACAGACTAATAAAAGATATTGTGGGAAAAAAAGTTTAAGGAGTAAAAGCCTGATTGGTATAGATTCAGAAAATGGCAGGTAAGGATTTGGAGACAGTAAACAACTGTGGGGAACATTTCCCAGAAAGAGGACTCATGGGGTAGTTGCTGAAATTGGAAGAGAGAGAATTTTTAAATTGTTTTTGTTTTCACAAAATGTTATTAGTGAATGTTCATAAGTTGATGAGAATACTATATCCTTCTAGAAAAAAGGACGTGGGCAGGAGAAAGGATAGAATTGCAGGAGTGTTTTGAGCAAGAAAGAATGGGATTTGCTGCCCAAATGGGAAGTTTAACCTTAGCTAGAAGCAGCTTATCCCTCCTAAGATGAAGGATGATGGAACATTTGAGCTGACTTGGGCAGGTGTTGTGGGAACTCGGAAGTCTTTTTAATTGTGTCAGATTGTTTTGGGTGTGTGTGTGTGTGTGTGTGTGTGAGTTTTACAGTGAAATAGGAAGAAAGGTTTTGAGTGAATTCCAGGAAAAAGGAGGAGACATAAAATCATCTAGTACTGCCTGTAATTGAGGGAGGGAAATGTCAAATTGCAAGGCAGCTGGAAGGACCCACTTAAAGTTAATGGTCATAAATGCAAATTGAGAGTAGTCACCCACAGCTGTGTGGATTTTTCCAGAATGAGAAAGGGAGATCCTGCGACCTGCCAGATAGTGTTAAAGATGTATTTTGAGAATCCCCCAAAGGAAGCTAAAGGACTGCACAAAGAAGTACTTTAGTCGTCAGTAAAGTTTGAGCTCCCAATTTCCCTAATTTTTGCCTTCTTGCCTGACCCAGGTTTCTGTGCTGCTTTCTTGCTTTCTCATGCCCAAGAGGCTGAGTGCCTTCCTATGAGTCTACCCTGAGGCTGAGTCCAGAAGCGAAGGTAACTGCAGCTTCTGCCTTTCAAGGAGCTCACAACTGAAGGCAAGAGCTGTATAGTTTCCATACTGTGCAACAAGATCCATAATTGGGCTTAGAAACCCAAAATCTCTATAGTTGAAATTCCCAGAGAGAAGAGGAATTTGTTCCGGGCTTAGGAAATGACATTTGCAAAGATGGTGAAGGCTGAGGAAATACATGCAGTTTTTTGTTTTTTATTTTAAGTCTTTTATTATTTGGTACAGAATCTCACTAAGGAGCTCAGACTCATAGTGATCTTCTTGTCTCAGCTTCCCCAGTGATGGGTTCCAGGGCCACACAACATGTGGTACCAGGGATTGAATTTGGTTCCCTGCGCTTGCCAAGCAGATGCTTAGACCTCTGAGCTATCTCCCTAGCCCAATACATGCAGTTTTGATATAGGGGAACTGACTGAATGTGCTTGGAGTTTAAGGGACCTATGAAAAGGTAGCTGAGAGAGGGGTTGAAAGGGTAGAGTGTGCCAAATATTGTAAGAGCCTATAGAACATGCTAGAAATTTATTCTGTTGGCAGTAGGAGTCAATGGAAAACTTGAAGTCACAATATATGGTGAGCAAATTAATTTTAAGAAGGAAATTAGCTATAACAAGTGAATAGAAAGCTATATAAAGTAGGGGCCAGGGAGATGGCTCAGTGGAACAAGCGCTTCCCTGGCAAGGGCCCGAGTTCAATCCCTAGTTCAAAAAAAAAAGCTATATAAAGCAGTCATTTTCTTTGTTTTGTTGCTGCAGTACCCATAACACTTTACATCCAATTTGTTTGATAAATAAATCAATTGGAACAGTTTGAGTAGTTCGACTAGTTTTATGGCTATTGCAGTAATGGAAGGAAGGAAAGATGCAGGCCTGAATAGCAGAATAGGAGGGCAAGAGAAATGAAGGTTTGAGAGAGATTTGGAAGTGGGATTGTGAAGTCTTGTTGGCTACTTGGTGGTGACAGATTAAGAGAAGTGAAGGAGGATGACACAGAAGGTTTATAATTTGGATATTAACTAAAAGCAGAGGAAGGAATAAAGCAATAGATAGTCTAGGGGCAATAGGAATGGTTCTTTTTTTGTGAGGTGCCTGTGAGACATATCCTGAGGCCTGTTGGACTGTGGCCAAAGTCAGTAGAGCCTGGAGGTGGAGGCTGAGATTTCAAATATGGGAGATGTTGGCTGGTGGGGGTGGTTGTTGAAGCCGTGGAAGTGAATGCAACTGACAAGGAAAGGGTGATGCAAAGTGGATTAGGGGATTTAATATGATTTTTTTTTTACTTTTGTCTCCCATTATTCTCCATCACCCCACACTCCCAAATGACGGAATTAGTAACTCCTCCTCTGTGGGGTGTTATGACATTTTGTACCCAGAGCTGTGGTGGCACTTGAGTTCTTTTGAGCTTGTTTATGCATTCAACACCTTCCTTAGGTTGGAGTCACCTAGTGTCTTGTTCATCTTTGTATCCAAAGCACCTGACCCACTGTACTCATTCGATGATTACCAGCTTCTTGAATCATGTTCTGTGATTTCCATGTGCAAGTTAGTCATTGATATCCACAGAGGAAATACACTAAACTTTTTTTTGGATGAAAGTTTATATGCTGTTTTTGTTGTTAGCTAAATAGGTCTTAAATTCCTGAGTTCAAGTGATCCTTCTGCCACAGCCTGCCTCCTAATTGGGGCTACAGGTGCAAGCTACCACACCCAGCTCTATTGTTTTTTTAAGTC